CTTTACACCGAGAGTTTAGCATCCAGAAAGCCACAGCTGTCAGCCCCCCACCCTTCTGCAGCTCAGCACTACACCTTCGCACAAAAACCTTGGTCATGCGGTTGTTGAGACGATGTAAGCCCAGCGGTTCCCATCAAGCCTACCATAGAAAGGACGGACACTGTGTCAAAGCACCACGCAGACCAAGTTCTGCCCTCAGTAACAGGTAAGCCCCAGCCTCCATCCGCTGCACGACACCGTGGAAGAGCCAGAGCGAGTGCAAAGGGCTGAGATACTTTCTCTCAGCAGCATGAGGACGTGAGATTTCTCAGTACTGGAGATGCTAACGACGGCAAAGAAACCTTTCCAAAATGGGTTGCTGTTTCCTCCCCGTAAATTGCTTCCGCTGTTAGAACAAAGTCTTAGTGGCTCCTCAGGAAACTCTGATTACAAAAAGCTGAGACTTTAGTTTTTCCCTCTCTGCTCTAGCACCGAGGGCACGCAGAGCCTCGTGCAGTGCCTGAAAAATGTTCAGAACAGGCTAGCAGGGACACAGCCTCCCAGCTTCGGGCTGGAAAAGCGTCGGGGCTATTACATACCTGGCTGCTCCCAGCTATCCACAAGGATAAAATGCTGGGCAGCATAACGGAAATTACCCATGCTAATGAGCTGAATTTACTACAGCATAAAATATTTCAGAGAGCAATTAGATTTTCACTTTGACTCATGTAGACTGGGCAGCGTAACGGAAATTACCCATGAGCTGAATTTACTACAGCATAAAATATTTCAGAGAGCAATTAGATTTTCACTTTGACTCATGTAGAAGGCTATTTTTATAACCAAGAGAATTCATTCCAAGTTTGTATATGAGCTTGCACATAGTTCTGGATTTAAAAAAAGATGAGCCCATCTCTGCCAAATTCAACAGAAGAGGGAGAAAAAGAAAAAAGTGATTTATACTCTTCTGCGGTGATCTACACGCAAGCGAACTCTAATCCAGACTCAAGCGATTTTGCTGCAGGTATGGCTTGCTGCACAAGGTAAGATGGGTTTCACAAGCCTTCACAACTGTTGGGTGTCCGGCACCATGATTCATGTTTGAGGAAACAACTGGAAGACTCAGCTGGAGGAAGTTGGGTTTTTCACCAGGCGATCCACACTTTCCAAACACCAGCTACCGCTTGCTTCTTCCTTCTGCTGCATCTTCTCAGAGAAGAAATCCAACAGACACAGACAACCTTGAGAAGGCAGCATGACAACCATCTACAAAGGTATGAGGAGCTGCCTTTCCTGAGGCTCATGTTGACTAAGCTGGGAAAGAGCAATCCTCCAAAACCTGAATGTCACCTGCCACAAAATTCCAGTGTGTAAGTGAAGTTCTCTTTCTACAAGTTTCCTTACGGTCATGGCAAACAAACAACAGTTCTTGCAGTTGTGCTGCACAGATATTATTTTTTCCTTTAAAGACTTCTGTGGTCCAGAAAGCTCAGCCAAAACATTGTTAGCAGACAATGGAGTTTAAAATGGAAGTAACTAATAAATGCCAAGATAATATCAGATATCAGAAAGATAAGCGCAAACATGGTTTTGAGAACAAAATACTACAGAACCTCAGGACTGCCCGTTTCTTCGAAAGCTACTAACACACACCAACATTTCCACTACCATCAACAAGTTTCATCCAACTTGCTGGGAAGCAGAGTAGTCAGCAACACTTTAAAATGCCACTGGATGGCTATTGCCACCAACTGTAATCCCAAAGACAGCACAAAAGAGGAGCAGCACCACCTGTCAATGAAACCCAAAGAAGAAACAGAGGTTATGGAAGTTATTTTTCCATCAAGTTGGTATCATTCATCTCTTTACCCCTCTTGTCAATGGAAAGTTTTCAGGCTGAAGGGCATCTCTCAACTGAAACAAGAGAGCGTGGCAGCTATTTTCAGTTTACTGTAGATGACCAAGTGCATTATCTGATTAAAGAATGCAATAAATGTACTTACCAAATATTTCCCCTCCACTAGCATACTCTGTCACTAGATAAATCATCCGCTCCGTCTCCATAACCTGGACACAAGGACAGAAAAGTGACAGATAAGGAGACTGCCGCGTGCAAAAAGAAATGTAAGTAACTGGGAATTTTTATTCCTTCTGTAACACATTAACTGCTTCCATCACAAATATATTACTTTCCCATGCCTTACAGAGCTGTGCAAAGGAACAGACAGGAGCTGGGGAAGGAATCAGCCATTTTTAATCACTAAATCTTCACCTGTGCCTTCCTCCTCCGCTTCCCCTCCTGTCAGCGTTTGCTCCCCGGTCTTGTCCTGTTCCAGCAGCCTGGGAGACTTTCCAGGGTCGCTGTAACCAAACTAGTTCACCTTTCTAACCAACCAGTCCATCACAGGTGCTACAATAACCAGCACCACTTTGCCAAGGAGGAATATTCGCCGAATCAATAAGTGACTTGCAAATGAGTCAAGCCCTATTAGAAATAAACCAGAGCTCGGGCTTTGCTGTAGGGAGTCCCCACATTTCCAACAGGCAACACCCCATTTTTAAGAGTTTTTAACACACAGTGTTAAAGCGCAGCATCACTGTCTGCTCCTTGCTGCCTTTGCCTGCGCAGGTCAATAGTGATACTCTGGGGGCTTTCGAGAAGGCCTGGAAACATTTTGGTGTTGTTTTGGCTCTCCTTTGTTTCAAAGAGAAGTGAAAGTCCCCCTTTTGACATGAAACAGACTGTTATCCAAGGGAGAATGGGTGCCTGGAGCCCACCACTGCTGCTTCTCACCAAGAACTAGGACTCGAAGATGGAGACTCGGTATTTTAAATAAATACACGCCTGATCCAGACTACAGCAGTCGCTTAAAACAGGTGGATCACTATTATTCTGAACATTAAAACAGGAGTATAACAAAGCTGAACCTCAGTTCTGCTCAGCTGTCACAGGGAAAGACCTACAGCTCCCACCTCGTGGCAATCCTACACGTCCAGAAAACCCTTAGGTAGATGGTTTTAAGCACATTTCTGTTTCCAGACAGGACACCTTGTAAAATCCTATCACAGACACTTTTTCCTCTTTCAGTTTCACTTTTATAAGCTCAAGGAAACGTGATTTTAAAACTCAGATTCTTGATGAAAAGCTGTGAAAGGCTCCGCATTCCCAATGCCAGGTTTTAGTAGTTTTTATCTAAAAATAATTGCCCCTGAAAGTACCCAGAAAGAATGGCCAGATGAAACACGCTCTGCAGTTGGTACTCTTTTCTCACCTTAGCTGAGCTGAGCCACAAGTGTCACCTATTCAGGATCATATCAAAAGCTTTAGATGGAATAAAACAGGTTGAAAAACAGGTTTTCAGCTCAAAAAAACAGCTTTAAGGAGACAGTTCACAGAGAAGCATTCCCTGAGTACCTTAAAAATGCTACAACTCTGCAGTGTCTGCTGTAAGCATCTCGTACTTGGCGGTTTAGCCAAAATAGCTAAACATTAACCTTTGTCACTTCTACTCAGTGTTAACTCTTTGGAGTCCAGCTAATCACTCATATCTATCAAGCACGGATGAGAAGCAGACGGGGCTTGAGCAGACAGGAGTCGGTTCTAGGGAAAGGCAACTTCTATTGCGGGTTACAACTTCTTCCTTACACTGCACACACAAGAGTTACATTACAAAAGGAAATAACCCCAGCAGATTTCCCCCAGGATTTCAACTTTTTAATACTCCGATGCCTGCCATCTGAGCTGGGCAGCCACAAACAGATCACCCATCCTAATTAGTCTCTTGCGCCTCAACACTTCCCTGCGACCAAGGGCCCTGGGTAGCACTTCCTCTGCATTGCACCCCAGCCCAAATAAGAGCTGACTTCCCATCCACAGCTCGGCTGGAAGTCCCCTCCGTTCCCAGAGCAGCCTGTGATGGTGAGCGCTCTGGCACGTGTCCTGCTGCAGCACAGGGGCAGGTAGCTCTGCGTGAATCTGGCAGCTGGTGGTCAGCACTGGCAGGATCCTGGGAAGGAGCCTTTGTCCCACAGCTTTCCAGAACGGGAGACAGGGAGTCCTTCATCTAACACCTTTCAAAACAGCATTTAACATCTCACCAAGGTGTTGGTCTCCTTTATTCCTCTGCTCCCATCACTCTGCTGCCTGCTTGTCTCTGGCCTCTTGCCACTTCCTCGCTGTTCTGTTTGACCGTGCAGTCAGAGGGGCACCACCAAATACATGTGTAAAAGGCAACGCACATGGATTCTGTCTCTGGTGGCTTTGTTTGCAGACTAGAAATGCCAAACAAGGTGGAGAAAAAGTCTGCAAACAATATTCAAAAGCAGGTCTGCCGCTGCTATCGATCACCTTCCAGGAAAGCACAGAGAAGATCAGCAAGTCCTCAGGGCCACAGGGCAATCGGGCAGGCAGAGGAGAGACGGGGAGCTGCACGCTTTCAGTCCTGCTAGGGGATGAGGCTCACTCTCTCCCTTAAATTGAGAAGGGGAGCCCGCATCCAGTTTCAACTGGGAAACCGAAAAGCACACAATAGCCATAAACAAATGGCAAGAGGCCAGCCCACAGCGGAAGCATGATCTCCCAGAAAAGAGAAGGATTTGCCACACTTTCCCCCTTCTGCCCCTCTAATCAAAGTACTCTGTGACCTTGAAAACATAAAGGACTTTCCCAGTGTTTCACCTAGGAGAAACGGAGGGATAACCCTAGAGAAAGCACTACTACAGAGTGTAAAGCTGTAGTGCAGAGGGATGGAAAACCCACTGCAGAGTGCTCCTACCTGGTATAACCTGATGATATGTGGGTGGCAAAGCATCTTCATGATCTGGACTTCTCTAAATATCTTCTTCAGGTTCTCTTCATCCAGCTGGGTCTTATCAATTATCTTTATAGCAACCTAGCAGAAGGAAACACAAGAGAGGTTAGTTAACTCAATTGCATATAGGAAAAGCATTTTTAAAAACAAACACTGCACGTTAGACCCTGCTGTGCTGAACATGGTACAAAAACAGAATACGTCGTCCATCTCAGAGAGCCTGGGATCTCTGAGCAGCCTCCCCGAATCCAGCCAGCTGGCCCTAATGCAGGTAGGAAGACGCTTTGTTTCCGAGCCCTCTGTGTATTTTCTCTACAGAGGGTACCTCGTTAAGAGAGCAGTGCTGCAGAAGGCAGGGGGGTTTTCAGGCTGATGCCCATTCTCACAGTATAGCATGTCCACAGCAGCACGCAATGCTGTGCTGAAAAGCAAGTTAGTTCTGAACTCCTGGATATATTTCACGCGAGTCCAAGCTTTTCTCCGCTTTGCTCAAAGGAAGCAGTTTTGCACATCTCACCACCCAGTTTCACTCATCAGCCTTGCCACTGTTGTGCCGCTGGAGGATGTGCCCGAACGCCAGCCTGAGCACGGCAGGGCTTGGCCACAAAACCAGGGAGATGGAGAAGTTGCTAGCTAGCCACACAGAGGGGGAACGGCTTTTGGGGACCAAAATCCAGACACGTATCTCACTTACTATATCAGTGCTGATAAATACAAGCTGGGATGAAAATGGGGGGGGGGGTTAGGCTTCTAACAATCGAGGTATTTATTTATCTCTTTTAAAACAGAAGTGCTCTACAACACTACACTGAAGTAGTTTAAACAAGTCTAAGTGCTTCCAGTCAGCTGCTCTCCAGAAGCTCCAAGCCTCAACAAGTTTCTTGCTTCAACTCCTTCCACCTTCCCCGAGCATCCTTCCCCGGTGCCGGCAGCTCCCAGCTCTTTCGGGCACGGACAGGAAAGCCATCAGACTCCAAACGGCGAGACACTTCTGTGCTAAAAGGCCCCCACACAGGTAATAAGGAAAGGCATCTTTTTCAGAATGCCAGGTTTAGCAGGGGAGAAGAGGCAGCTGCCCGGGTGACACCTTGCTGGAGCAAAGGCTGAGAGCAAAGGCTGCCCAATACTGGCAGGGGAACATCTGCACCCCTTCTTCTAAATCAGACTTCAGCCTTGAGTTAGTAAACCCCTCCCCACCAAGAAACACCAGTGCAAGCAAGCAGCTGCAGTATGCCAGCCTAGTTCGAGGCTTGTGGGTTGAATTAACATCCGCCAGCAGGTTTTCTCGCTTGGAGATGGCACTTTCCCTGGGAAAAGCTTTTACAAATCTTCTCCTGGTTGCTTTGCTAAAGCATAATTTACAAAACTTCTGTCAAGGAAGACTGCAGAATCATGCAAAGACATGGGGAAGGGCATGCAAAGCAGCACTGCGGTAAAAAATGCTGATGATGCACAACCAGAAAGATTTGACACGGGAGCCCACAGCCCAATTACAGAAATGCTTAGCTTGTAACAGGCTCCAGCACTCGCTAGGGACGAGGACAAGTGCTCCGCACACAGGCGTGCCACAGCCACAGGCGAAAAACCACAGTGGCACACAATTCGAAACACATGGACGTCTCCTCTGGTGCCAAACCCCAAGTACAGTGCTAAATGATGCTCTAACAGGCACGGTGCTGTTTGGAGAAAAACAAACAAACAAAAAAAAGGGTCTTTAGGATCTTTAAGGGAACAATCTGAAGCACATGAAAATTAAGCTTCATATTTTCTGACAAAATCCTTGCCAGGGGAATAACTGCCCTGCATGTAAGCAGCACACAGCAGAAACCCGAAAAGGCACCGAGTACAATAAGCTGTTTCTTTCATTTGAAACCTTTAATTCCAAGTACAGGAACGATTCCAGACTTTTCAGTCACTGCGCACGCTTCCTGCGGCGAGAACAGAAGCTGACAGGCGGCCAGGTCTGGCACCCAGCACTGGAAGCCGCTGGCAGGAGCGGGGCTGGAGCTGCGACGCAAGGTGAAACGGCAGAATCGGACCCTGCTCTGCGCCGCTGCCAAGCACTAACCGGCAGTGATGAACGGGGTGACGAGCTGCTGCCGCCCTCTTCTAGGCTGGCAGCGTCCTGGGCTGCAGCTCGTCCTCTGCCGAGGAGCAGATAGGAAGCAGCACAGGTTTCATTAGCTACGGCTCTGGCAGATCTGCACCGTGTGGTGTCAAGGACAACGCTCAGGAGTGGCCCGGGAAAGTTAAGAGAGCCAGAGGGGCTTGGAGAGCACTCGCTCCATCACTCACCACATGCTTTTCTCCAAGGATTTTCCCTGCGAGAACGAGCTTTTGTAAGCTTAAAGCAATACACATCAAAAACTAGGAGAAGCTTCCTCAAAGAGCAAAGCCAAGATGTCTACCAAGAGACGTGAGTCATTGTCAGGCACAAATACGTAAATCCACAGATCTGGAGTGTTCCTGAGCTCCTTACTCATTCCCCAGCTCTGTAGCTGCTCTAAGGAAATCTCATTTCCCAGCTTCACTATATGGCTCGAGTTGACTCTCTTGAGCAAGGTCAAGGTATGTAGAGCATTTGACTGAACAGAATGTGGTCAGTAGGGCCAGACAAAACAGAACTGAATTACTGTTTTTCTCTGATAACAGGGGGCAGGGAGAGCCGGGCTGCCATCTCACCAGCTTGCCTGCCCCACGCTCGTCACCTCGCGACACTGAGTGCTTCACACGCGGTGCCCCAGAACTCTGCACCCGCCAGACACACAGCCCCAGAATCGGCAGTAAAGGAACACAAACACCAGCATGAAGATTGTCCTCTTGGGAAGGATCTTATTTTGAGTTTGGCCAAATGGATTGTCCTTGAGCAAACCCAAACCCATCCTCAAAAGCAACGAGGAGGAGAGGCTTGGCATTTCTGAAGGGGTTTCTTCAGAATGTTTTCATTCCATTCAAATGCTGGCAGCAACTGATGGAACATAAAAGGTAAAAGTCTCCTGAAAAAGCCTGGGGAAACCACCTCGTGCTCCGGTTTCAGGAAATTCAGAGCTTCCTCACAAGCGCGCAAGGGTGGAAGTAGGAAATCCCCTCCACGCCCTCTGCAGAAGGGAAGGCGCAGGGAATTTCAGGGGTGGGGGCTGGCGTTTCACCTGGGGCTTTGCGAAGGGACGCTGTTTGGTTTGTGTCAGAGGATGGCTTTTTTCCCAGCAAGAAGGAGTGGTTTCAAGGCTTTCCAGAACAGACCAAGTTGGTTTCTCCATTCCTGCATTTCCCAGCTGCCTAATATTCTCCCTCCCCTTGAAAGATGATTCAGGATTTCAACAGAAAAGGTCTGGCTGCAGTCCTCTGGTCACACCAGCCAGACTGACTTCATCGAGAACTCGCTCGCAGGGAAGCAGCCACAGGATTCTGCTCCGCTAAGCGCACGCTTTCCTTCCTTTGGGAACATCCACCTGGCCTGAGCCTCCCGACCGGCAAAGAGCCCCTGCAACTGCACCCCCTCCTCCTCCTGGGCTGTGCTCCATCGTCCAAGCTGTCGAGGGAGCTCATCCAAGCTGTCCATGCAGGCTCTGCACGAGCCCTTGCAGCTTTCGGTTGCGGTTCTTCCTGCCAGCAGTCACTTGCTGTGGCCGTCACAAAACCATCTCACCCCAGGAGAAAGCGTCCACAAAGAGGCACCACCAGAACTAGGGCTCTATAGTATTATTTTTACAAAGAGAATCGGTTTCAGGTAGCGTCACAAAACACTAAAACAATGCCAACCCCAAATCAAGTGCGTTCCCTCCTGCTCACAAGCAGCACATCAGATAGAGATGAGCAAGACTGAGCATCACTACAGAAAACACAAATTCAGCTACAAGTGGCAGAAACCCACGATCTAATGTCTTAAACAATTAAATACTATTTTAAAAAGTCTGAAAAAGTAACTATTCTCTTATCAAAAGTTAATGAAGCTTTCAGGCAGGAGGATACATGCCAAGTCTGGAGCATGCATGCTGCTACCAATTAACCACATGTTCCCTCCATTTCTACACATTTCATTTTTTCCTCCTTGGAACCTAGCACACTAGTAATTTGAGGAATAAATTGTTTTTTGGAAGAAATGTCAAGCTGCTAAAACCAACAGTTGGTAGAGAGAAGGTATGGTGCTCAAACTGACACCTGCAACTCCCTGTGGAGCTCTTGCTCTTCCAAGACAGGTTTGTCCACGTTATTGCCGGATTTTCCTCCTCCTGGTGCACTTCAGCTGAACACCGCTGGGTATTTTTTGATTCTGAAGCTGTGCTGAGTATGTGTGCACGCCAGGCGAAAGCCTCGTGAGGAGGAGTGGAAACTGCAACCACAGATCAGCACGAAAGCAAAAGGGGGGCTGAGGAACCCCAAGAGAGGTTCTGAAACTCTGGGAGACCAACTCCCAAGCAGTGACCACCGATATCAACATCACACGGGAACTCAAAAGGGACAGAAAGTACATTCCAGGCCAAACCAGCAAGTTGCTTTCACAGCACCCCAAAATTCTAAGTTCCTACTTTGCACTGAGAGACCAGATTTCACAACCTGGTGGGCACCAGAGCTAGAGGATCACGCCAAGGGCGAGAGCCTCCTAAATGAGGCACGAGTCTTGGGGCAGGAGCAAACACCTCCTTGCAGGAATTCAAATGTATACTGACATCCTGTTTACCAGCTAAGCGTGGCTAATATCCATACGGACTTCCTTCCATCAGTGCTGCCAAGGGAAATAAACTGCCGGGTGCCCAGGGGAAAGGGCAGGAGGGGGACAGGGCGGCCCGGGGGCAGGCAAAGGACAGCCACCGTGCTCTTCACTGCTCTGACTTCTTGGAAAGCATGTCAGAGAGGGGAAAAGGCAGGAGCACACAGCATGTTTTCAGTGGAAAGAAGCCATGAAACAGTGAACGTTTCCTTTTTCTTCTGTGCTGGGAACAACGGAGACTACAGACCCTGTCCTGGCTAACATCTATTACTTCATGCCACACATTGGCTTAGGT